GTGGACTTGGTTTATGCAGAGAAAGAGAAATTCAGATACCCAATGATGCAGTGTCACAAGCGATGAGGGTAGTAATGCTAAAAGTGCGACTTTTGCGCTTGGGATGTGATTGGCATTTGTATGGTCGCAGCCGAGACGACTCAGAGCCACAGCATGACCAACTTGCAGGGACCGATGCGAAACTTTTCTTCAAATTGTGGGTGTGAGGACCAAGATGCCGTGTTTTGAGAGACGGGATGAACTTTGTGTGTCATGGCACCGATGAGCATAAAGGTCAGTGTTGGCGCACAATCCAATTGACTGGTCTGAAGCATCGTTCCGTTTCAACGCGTGCAAAACGTCGCCAACGCCACAAGCTGCGGTTGGACAACGACTTGATGAAAGCGCGCATAACAGTGTGCGATAGGGTGAGAGGGTGACGTGATGAAATCGTTGGGATTTACACGAGCAGGGAATACTCAAGCCGAGCACTATGACGGCGGGATACGCCACAGCTTTGGCTTTCAAGTTGTGCGTTGGTGATGGCTTGAATTTAGATTGATGCGTCCTGCCATCATGGGCATCATCCGCTGCGGCCAAACAAACGACCACATGGGAGACCTGATTAAGATTAAGCTCTAGGTTATCGTTTCCAAATGGTGCCGGACCAGACGATTCTCGGAAACGTCGTCCAAACCACGCATGAGCAGCCACAGCGGCGTCACCCGCGTCACCCGCGTCAACCATTTTCGTGGCGCGCGTATCTCGCGTCCCCGCAAGTCCATATGATTGGCCACAGCTGCCATCTCGCAACGTCGACCGCACAAACGCTCCAACGGCTCTCCTCCGCGCAAAGGCCGCTATCAGATCGGCGCTGCATACGACACCCATGCCCGCATCGTGGGAGGCCATCCCACTGGTCCATCACAGGTCGTTCTGCACCCCATGTGGAATCCAGAGACCGGCGTGGCCAACCGTGGCCATCGGCACGTCTTCCCATCGCGGTCGCGACGCCAGAAAACACCCGGACTGCATGCATGCATACCGCTGGATCCCTCAGGACCACTCGATTCTTGTGCTTTGCTGCGGCGCCGAGACGGGGATAGAAGATGGATACGTACCTGTTTGGTGGGGGGAGGCGACGGGAAAACCAAGAAGTGGGATCGGGAGAATGAAAGAAAAGGGTGATGCAGATGCGGGATATATACGGGCCTCCGCCTTTCATGGCCCGGATTCAAATTAATTTGGCTGTTTCCATATTGATGCCTGTGCCTGGATAGGTGTCCATTTTTTACCTTTTTCAGATTTCAAGTTGAGGTATTGTCAGGGTTGAATCTTTATACCGGTTCACGACTTACACCGCAACTCTTGGGCAGCGATATTATCTGATCGACGTGGCTATTTTCATCACAACTTTTGATTTTGAGAAGCTCAATCTTGGGTGTCACTGGGCTATCAGCTACATCAATTGCTATACCAACCATCAAAATTCCACCACACACGGTTGCATCGTCACCCCGAACCACCTCACCTCACTTACACTGTCCGCCACACAATGAAAGAGAAATGTCGTCCGCAGAGCAACTCCTCATCATCCTCTTAAGAAATGACCGCATCAAGGACCGTCTATTCTCGCACCTCTCCACCTCTGACATTGCCTCCGTCCGCCGGCTCTCGTCGGCATGCTGCAACCTCGTCACGAGACACCTCTTCACCCGCATCACCGTCACCTTCACGCCCGCCACCTTCACTAAACCCACCCGCGTGGCGGCTCTCAACCGCATCGGCCACCACGTCGAGCACCTGACGTTCCAGATGCCTCACTCCGAAGCGACCTTCCTCCCGCCCCTCGTGCATCCGCTCACCGGGCAGGAGATATGCTTCCTGTACACGCCCCATACGAGCATGAGCTCCGCGCTCACTCGCCGCAAGTATGCCAACACAGAGCTGGGCGACATCCTGACGCAGCAGTATCCGCCGCTCTTCCACGCCGCCACAAACGTGCCCAGCTTCATCCATGCGCTTCACTCGCTCCCAAACATGAGGCACCTGACCGTCCGCTGCCCCGGGCAGGACCCCAGAGAGAGGTACAGGAGGGACATTGTCGACTATGCGCTCATCAGCCTCCGAATCGCCGTGGAGAGAGCGCCGCTCGACAAACTCAACAAGCTGAGTCTCTCGTCGCTGCACCCCTCGGCGTTCAACTACCTCCGGCACACGCAGGGGTTCGGCTCTGTGCCCTCGGCGGGAAAACGCTGGAAGCAAGTCAAGAAGCTCAACATCTCTGTGGAAGCATGGGACTTTCACGGCCCTTCCCCAGGGCTGGACCACCTGAAAATCCTCGACGACTACGTGCGCTTCTTTGCGCCGTCCCTCGACAAGTTCAGTTTTACGTGGATCGGGGCAAAGGGTCCTTGTCCCGTGGCTCTGTCCTCCGATTCGCTCTTTGCGCCGCCCAGGTCGTCCAAGAAGCTCTTCCACGAAGTCACGTCGCCCATGTCGCCGCTGCCCGTCCGCCCGCCCCGGGAACCCATTCACTTCCCCAAGCTGCGCCACCTGCAGATTCGGAATGCCGCCATGAATGCGCCCCAGCTGAGCGACCTGATCAAGTCGCATAGCTCTACCGTCAAGGAATTCGACTTTGAGAACGTCGTGCTCACGAACAATGGGAACTGGGAGGATGCCCTCGCGCCGCTCAGCAGAGACGACTCCTGGACGAGGAGTAGCATGGCGGCCGCGTCCGACTACAGCCTCGTGACGTGCGAGAGCGACGAGGAGCTGCCCAGTCCAAGTGCGGCGGCCGAAGCAGCCAGCAGGGAGCTGTTGGATCTGGACCTGGGCGCATCGGGATTCAGCGACGAGGAGAGGACCGTCGTCGAAGGGCCGTCGGAGGAGACGTCTGCTGCTGCTTCTGCCGCGCGGTCTGAAGAGAGTGTCGGCTTCACGACCAAGTTGCGCAAGAAGAGGACCAAGAGGAGGAGGAGAAGACACGATGAGCACGGCCCTGATTCGAGGCCGTCGTCCTCGCACCGCCATGACAGGAAGCCGCCCAAGCCAAAGCCCAAGCCTCCCCTGGAGTCGGACAGGCACAACAGGCCCGTCACGCCCCCTTCGCCGAAACATGTCATCACCGCGCCTATCCTTGCGGCGGGCCCGCACCCAGTCATCCTCCAGCCGGCCGTCTACGACCCGTCCTGCTCCCAGGACGACGGTATCTCCGCTGTCCAGCGCAACATTGAGCAAGAAGAAGCGCACAGACTCCTCGCCGAAGACGCAGCAGCGAGGGTCAGCGCTCTTCAGAAGGCCAAGGAGGCTGTTCTCTCGAAGCTGAGCAGGGAGTTTTCCGCCAAGAGGAGTAAAGCGGCTGATGCGGTGGCGGCGTGTAGGTTGATGGCGAGTAGGGAGTGGGCGAACGACATGTACACGACGAACGTGGTTGTTGAGGATCGGGGCCGCATGGAGAGTCGGAGCGCGTTGGTGCCGTTGATGTTTAGTCGTTCATGAGAGTCATGTTGGGAACGAATAGCAATGACGTATGGGCTCTCTCTTTTTTTCTCTTTAACGATTTGTAATGAAGTCTGATGACAGTCATGACCTTCTTCTTTTTGTATTGATTATCTTTTACCTTCTTTTCTTCTTCTTACCTGTCTCTATCAATAGCACATTGATGTAAACCACTTCCCTGCCCAGACTTGATAAGCGCACGGCTGCATCAACGTACATATTAGCCCTTTGTTCCTGCGTGTTGTACCCGCCTCACATACCCCATCACATCAGGACGATTGGAACTCGTATATCTTCATTCTGGAAAAGAAACAGCTTGTATGTAGTAATGTCGACCAGTCCTTCCATGCAGATTCACAAAGCGCCAGTAATTACAAACAAACGGTCCACCATCAAAACTCAGGCATCACCCGCTCTCCTTGACAACCGTCTCCAGAGCCTTGATATAATCCTTGACCTCCTTGGCCCCCGTCAGCGTGATGTCCCTCCTCTTGCCCTCCACCGCCACGACCGGCACCGCATCAGCGTCCATCGTGACCTCCCTCAACCGCGCTCTCACTTCCCTCAGCCCCAGCTCCTTGTCTTCCACTAGCTCCCTTGCCTCGTCCTCCCCTACCCCGGCCTCCACGCACGCTTCCACCAGAGTCTCGTCCCCGGACGGATGCTTCGCCTGCTCAAAGTACCGCCTGTACAGCCCTTCTACCAGACGGCTGGCCGCGTCGGCTCCCCTGTCCCGCTGAACCTGCTGAATCACCCGGTGGGCGTGGAGGGTGTTGCCCATTTTGCCGGCGAAGTTGAGCTTCACGCCGTGCGGCTCCAGGAGGGACGTCATGTGGGACTGGTACGCTTGCTGGGCGGCTTCATTGTCAAAGTGCTTTTCGTGGAGGTACCATTCCTGCTTGTCGGCGGTGTCGGGGAAGTCCGGGAAGAGCTGGAACGGCTCGAAGTGGAGGGTGAATGTTACCGGGGGTGAGGTTGCCCGGACTTGGGCGAGGGCTTCTTCCAGTCTGCCGGCGTCTTTAGTGGGTGGGCGAAGTGAGTTGACGGGCGAGGATGTACAGACCTCTTCTTTGCCAGGTACGTCCTGAGAGAGTTGGCTCTTGTTCTGGGATCTCGGGGGGGAGGTTGCTCGATCTGAGTGTTTTGAGGGCGATGCGATGATGGGGGTGAGATGCTTACCACGGGCAAATGGTATCGAGGGTGAATGATACTTGCGATTCATACATGGTTTCAGCTACAGATACGATAGGGGAGGCGTGCGGGCTCAATTATAATCTGCTCTGGAGGGCAAAGCGTCTGATGAGAGGAGCAAGAGACAGTCGTCGATTTGAAGGAATTGGTTGCAAGTTTGATGAATAATCGACCGTCACGGCAGGAAACAGTCGATGCGGGGTGAGAGGGAGCCACAACGCCTCTCCGTCTATCCGACCCAGATGCGAAAATTGGATTCCTTGAAATTGATCGCCTCGTGAGGGTATCTTCATCCTAAACGCAAAAACACCCAATAGATACACTGTTCAATCAAACGTCATCTTGGTACCCGTATGCTTCACCACCGCGCCCGTCAGTCTGGCAACTTGGATATCAGCAGCCTCTTTGAGTGGCTTAGCCGCCTTCTCTGGGGCCTCAGTCTTGGCACCCGAGTTATCGCTCGCCGCTTCATCTCTCGACTTGAATCCATTTCGTCCTTGTGAGGGCCTGCCCTTTCGCTCACCCCCGTTCGCTTGCCTCTGGGCGTCCTTGCCAAAACGCTTCTTGTACCGAGACTGGTCATCTTCGGCCAGCTCCAGCTTGAGTTCTCGACCCAGCATACGGTTCACCCACCATTTCCTCGTCTTGAATTGCTTCTGCTGGTCTTGTTTCCTGTCCTCTGCGTCGTCGCCATCGTTGAAGTCGTCCTCCGTCTCAACCGCCTCCTTCACCTTGACAAATCCTTTGACAGCCCACGCGGCCGCTTCGGGTTGCTTGAACTTGACCCATCCGTAGCCCTTGCATTTGCCCGTGTCTTCAAACGTAGCCACCTTGACCCAATCAATCTCTCCGCACTTCTCAAAGTTCCGCCACACATCCTCCTCTGTTGTCTTGAAGCTCATGTTTCCCACAAAGATTTTCCGGCTGGCATTGGGGTCGGCTTCTTCCTTTTGCTCGGCACCGTGCTTGATCTTGCCGTCTGGCCCGGTCTCCACCGCCTCGGGTTCCTTCTCCTTTGCAGGTCGTCCTTCAAATGACTTGGAATCTTTGATCAGAAGCTTGCGGTGTCCGAGTTCCGTCTCTGATATCGCAATGGCAGCAACCTTGCCAGCAATGTCTGTGAAATCAACATAGGCAAAGCCCTTGTTGGCGGGCTTTTGGCTCTTATCTCGACCAGGGTCTTTTGACGTAGGAATCTTTATTCTCGTGATTGAATCATCAGTAATGACTCCACCGGAGTTGTCCACAAGCCACTGCCTTAACTCTGCCGCTGTGATGGTGAAGGGCAAGTTGCCAACCCAGATGCCGTGTTCTGACCTAGCCTTTTCCTTCTTGTCACGTTGCTCGCCATCGCCATCTGCCTTTGCTTTTTCGTCGCTGCTGTCATTCTTTGCGGGGAGGGGCTTGCCCTTTTTCAGAGCACGGCGAGCCCGTTTTGATGGTGGTTCGGGAAGTGTAAGGTCGACCTCGATCTGGTCAATGGCAGACTTGCGCTTGGTGGACGTGACTCCTTCCCCATCCTGGGGGATGGCCTCTTCTTTAACACTTTCCATTGGTAAAATCCAGAGTCGCGTAAATACTTGTAATCTGAATAATGCAATAAGACTGCTTTGGCAGATCTCTCGTCTACAGGTCAATGACAATCTGTAGAATACTCGGTGGCCAGGCAAAACGACAAGCAGCCAGAAATTTTTCCCTTGGTGCAGCAAGGCGATAACGATAAGCTACCAGCAGGGGTAGTTGGACCATTGTGGGAGGGGTCCGAGAGTGGGGTCCAAGAGTGGGGTCCTTTTCGCTGCAGTCAGATGAATTCATCAGGCAGAAGTAGAAGCCCAAAATGAGTTCTCAAGGAAACTACCATGGAACGGATGAAAAGGCATCCTATCGGTTCACGCAAGACACCAAATTCGTGAAGCGAATTACTCGGAGCGTATCCCTTTGAATGTGCGCAGGTCCAATTGGGGTAGCGGACCAGGGTTCTAGCCAATGATAAATACTAATAAAAAAAGATATATAAACTTACTAGGAAATTATATAAGAAATCAGGTACCTTATATCTTTTAAGATATAAATAAATATAAAATATTACCAGCTGTTTACCCGTATCAGAAAGTATCTTCAAATATCATACCAAAGTGGGTCGAATACATCAATTGGACCTCCGCACATTCAAAGGGATAGAGTAGGGTCAACGTATTCGGACACCAAGGGCGTGCGGCTGATGCGGGTGTGTCATGTACTCGCCTGAAGCAGCAAGGTTCTCACATCTCGGCGTCATGATTAGGCATAGCTTAGATAACTTCCCGTCAATAGTTATTGTCTCAGCAGGGAAAGACGATGGTGATGAATGACAACGTCTGCCCGGCATCACCTTGCAGGCTTCAGCTTGCTGCGCCTTCTGATGCTTGGCCTCGTCTCAAGTCTCTGTAGTATTGAACGGCAGTTTCCACAGGCATAGCACAGAGTTTCATAAAGCAAGGGCAACTTGTGACGGACGCGAGCAGCCGATGGGGTTGCATTGCGGAGATGGAGGCTCATCTGGTGTGGTACTACTGTACTCGGTAGCTTGTCTCACATGGATGGGTTGAGAAATTTCTGTGTGCAGCAACGGGAGAAATAACGTGTCGAGGCCAAGTATCGAAAGTAGCTAGGTTCGCTGGTGGTTTAAGAAGGCGATGCAAGCGGTGTTTCGCAGTAATACTCCAAGCCCGTTCTCGTTTTGCACCATGGAAGCAGCTCACCAGCGACGGTTTACCAGATTGACCTTTTTGTCTTTTAATTGCCAGAACCGCTAAGCCTCCGAAGCACTGATGAGTAATAATAATGAGTACTTAAGTACTTAGAGGAGGCAACCACCAACGTTCGGAGGTATATTGCGACGCGCAGCTTCGGCCTCGGGCTGACCTCCGCGCGAATGCACACACATGCATCCAAGTACTTATACAGAGAGACCACCCGCATCAGGCCAGGCTTGGCTTCAATGTTCCTTTTTTGTCCGTTTGTGCAAATAATAGATGGCGCTGGGGGCGAGCATTTTCGGCGCGGCAGGGCGGACCCACGCCAAAGCCGCCAAAGCTTAGCTGCGCGGTCCATCTCGAACCACGAAGTTGCCATCTAAAGTACTACTACGAGGCTGAGGTGCTCCGGTCTGGTGCCAGCATTTGAACCAGCCCTAAAGTTGACGCCGGCGATCGCTCTCGGAGGGGCCCAATTAGCGACTGGGGCCACCGAAGCCCAGCACTAGTCCAGGCGCCACCAGGGCCCAGGCCATCACGTGCGCAGGCTCAGTGCTGGGCACTTGTGGGTGTTGCAGTGGTTGAGTGCAGTGGTAGTACAGAGTACTCCATGTCCGCAGTAACATGAACATCAAACAAGTCTGGTTGATAACAAAATTGATTGAGCCACGCCGCCCCCAATCCTTGCATCCGGTCTTCTTTCTGGTCTGGTGTTTTCAAGCAAGGCATTTGCCATTTGTTTCCTGCTGCCGCATCTCCCCATGACAAAATAGCTCCGGCGTACCGAGTAGTATATCCAACCAGCGGCATCCTTCCCTTCCCTTCGCCGTCTCTCCATGTCATCTTCCATCGGCCATCTGCTGTCCGCCTCCCGCAAGCGACGTTGCTCTCTCGGTCTCTCGCCCTCTCGCCCTCTCTCCCCACTCCCCGTCACAGCAACACAAGGTCCAACACAAGGTCGATCCACTTGCATTTGCACAATCGCACAATTTAACCCAGTCGACCATTTTGTAAATCCGCCAGTGCCCACTCAACCGCGGTCCTGCCACCCTTACACCCCTTCCACCCCTTCCACCCGTCCCTTGGCTTTCTTGGGCTGCCACCCAACGTCCCAAGTTTGCCAGCCAGGGCACGCCTACTGGACCACCTGGGCCTCGCCTTAGCTCTGACCGCCTTCTTTCTAGAGTCGGCTGTGATTTGCAGGCTGCCTGCGTCCAAAGCCGGCTGTTCCATTATTACGACTCCGTTTCCCGTTTCCCGCTTCCCATTTCGCCCTTTCTGCTTCCCCTCCCACAGTTGTTGCCTCGCTCAACCTTCACCTACCAAACGCCCCATCGCAACGACTCAACTCTTTGCTCTGCAAAGTATCGCCTCTGCAACGGCAACTGTCACTTCGCGTAGTGGACAACGCCTTCCAGGAAATCGTACTGCTGCGACGAACCTTGCTCTGTCGGTTTCATAGTCGCCCTGTTGACGGCTTCGCCTCGGTCAAACGGCCTAAAACTTCACCATGAATGTTTTGTTGTCGCCGCAGCCTCCAGTTTTCCCACACCACCACGAAAACCCTCGTTTGTCTCCTCAGCGATCTGGTACGTATATATAGCCACCAAGTCTGCGTTGCAATCGTCCGTATTTTTGTGTGTTTGGCCATGGGCCCGCAGCTTTCTCCTTTTTCTTCTGCATCCATCATGGCTAATCCCCAAAACAGTTTCACCACTACTCGGCATGTCAAATCGAAAGCGAAAGGCCGATGATGATGGGGACGAAACCATGTCGCCATTGAGCTCGCCTGCCATCTCAGCTCGACCACTTGTACGCCCCTCGAAAAAAGTACGATCCAACGAGCTTATCGGTCGACCCCTTCCCTTGCCTCGACTTCTGGAGACTCTCGATGCCAGCCAGCTAAGGATGGTCCTGGAACGGCTCTGTGAACGCCACCCGGATATTGGACAGGAAGTTGTCGTCGGGGCGCCTCGACCGTCCGTTTTGTCTGCCCTGGACGTTTTGCAGGACTATCACGTCAAGCTGAAGGAAGCCATACCTTACGGCGAATCAAGCCCTGAATATACCTATTATCGAGTCAAGGAACCCTTAATTGCCCTCATCGATGCTCTATCCGACTTTACACCCCAATATCTCCCACCTATCGAGACACAGCCGACTACTTCATTGCAGTTCCTTGATGGCGCCACAAAACTTATCCACGACCTGCCCAACTGGGAGCCCCAGGCTTATCGCCATCACAAGGAAAGTGCATACGATGATATTTCACGGGCCTGGGCTCTGGTCATTACTGAGGCTGGTAAACGAGGTGGCGGCCTTAACTTGCACACTGGCGGGTGGGACCAGACGCTGTCTCGTCACAATGAACAGTCAGGAGGGCGTCTCGGCACTGCCATGTCCGCCATGGCTAGCAGTGTAGGCTGGATGGGTCCGGGACCTAGCACGCAAGGCAACCCGTCTGAGCAGAATTCTATTCTCAATCGACTCATGTCCGGCTCATATGGATCCCCCGTGCGGGTTGGGCCTTGGTAAAGCCTCCAATTTTCTACAAATATGAACAAAAAAAAGAAAAAAAAAACCGGCATATTGTCCCTGGTGACACCATCGCGGACAACAATTTCACGACACATGATGACGACCTTTCTTTTGCATTAAAGGCAGCATAGACTTGGGAGTTGATACTTCATGCACACACTGGATGAATCGGCGTTTTTTTGTGAACCTGCGTTACACTTTCCCTTCTGCTATTTTGAGAATAGTAGGAATCTTTGTTGCTGGTTTGCTTGCATTTTGGGGCTTCTTCTATTCCTACATTTTCTTCTGTCATCTTGTCCCCGCGAATGTAACGCGGCTCCTCTGTATGCATACATCCTCTACACTATGTAGGTAGTAAAATCTTGGCGGAGGAAGACGTGAACTATGGGCAACACAAATTATACCCATTATTTTGGTAATACAATAAAACTTGGCGGACCCTGCTTTCGGCATTACCAGAACATGTGTCGTCCATTCGCTGTTTAAGCTCCGGGTATATTTGTAGTGACTCGGCCAGGTCAGCCATCTTACGCAACAACGACCTCTCCTAATGTTGTGAGTTTTTAAACTGCCATCGCTTCCGCACTTTTGCCTCGGCAATCAATAGATATAAATAGCCACCAACTGGCCTGATGATTAGGGTGACGGATCTTATCAAGGTGGGGCAATTACGGCCCTTGCCGAGATTACAGGTGCTGACCCATTCATCCTGTTGAGGTTAGCCATCACATCTGTCACGTGCTCACCCGTGCCCAAGTCAGACGCGCCAAATCTGAGGAACGCGACGCAACTGCACCCCGGATATCGAGGTGGTCAGCGGTGACTATTTGAATGACGGAACACTCCCTGGCGACGCTAATCATCGGAATCAATATTCATGAAATCCAGACATCGATGAAACACGGTGCTCTGATCCTGGCTTATCATGCCTGCGTGCGTGCATTCCCTCTGGTCTTCTGTACGGGGCCGTTCACTGACAATTGCAAGCAGCCCAGGCGACCAACATACCTCGTGGGAAAACCCATTTGAGGAGGCTAAACCACGAGTTTCGGGCTGGACAGCCAAGGAAATTGCTACAATTGCTTCGAAACTTGACAAGCAACTCGGCCCAGAATACATTTCGTCACGGTCCGGACCTGGTGGTTCACGCGTGCATTACCTTACAGCTGAGAAAGTAATTGGCTTAGCCAACGAAGTATTTGGATTCAATGGATGGTCATCGTCCATACAGAATATTCAAGTCGACTTTGCCGATGAAAACCCTCAAACCCAGCGCGTCAGCATCGGCCTCTCGGTGATCGTTCGGGTTACCCTGCGAGATGGAACATACCACGAAGATATCGGTTACGGCTCAATAGAGAATGCCAAGGGAAAGGCAATGGCCTTTGAAAAAGCCAAGAAAGAAGGCACAACAGACGGACTGAAGAGGGCGCTCCGAAGCTTTGGAAATGTTCTTGGCAACTGCATCTACGATGCAGACTACGTGAAACAGGTCACAAAGGTCAAGGCGCAACCTGTGAAGAAATTTGACCAAGATAATCTCCACAGACATTCAGACTTCGTCAAGAAGGACGCCTCGATGAGTGGGATACCTGTGACGGCCGGGCCTATCAAGAACACGACTAGGCCAGCTACCGTAAAGGTGGAAGCTACGGAGTCTTTTGAAGACTTCCTCGGTGGTATGCTTTCCTCAGACGGGTTCGAAGAAATCGAAACTGAATATCAGTAGAACTCGACGAGGCCGACTTCTGTGTTCCAGGAGAAGGCCACCCGGACGAAATCGTTGTTCACCAGCCGGGCCCCGTGCAGGCACAAGTACAGCATTCAAAGCCGCCATCCAAGGAGCCAGGGCAAGCACAAGCACAGGGACCAAGCCGTCCAACAACTAGGGCAATATCAGGAGGTTCTGGGAACCGAGCACCGCAAACACCGAATAGTGGTGGAAATGTGCAATCTGGTGGCGCCGTTCGAGATTCGCCGCAGATGAACAACATGCCTGCCCCGCCAATGCCTCCTCCAGGGGCCGAGACAGCAATGTTTTTCTCCGCTAGATCTATCAGCCGCAATACTGATGCCAGGGAACAGGGGCTGGCCAGCTCCCACGCTTTCAATCCTAAAGCTGAAAGTCCTTCAATCAGGAAAACGCCAGGGATTGACCATACATTGTCAAAACCGGTTTCCAGAAACGGACAACACGTCCCGCCGGCGAACAGCCAGTCTGGTGCACCACCATCTAGCGCTACTGGCTTTACTCCAGTCCGACCAGGGGGAACGGCAACTAGAGGCAATCTTGTCAACCCATCTCTTGACCAAGCACGAAGGATTGGTGCGCCTGGGGGTCCTGGAAGCCCCCTAGCAAACAGAGGAAGCTATAAACCACCCACAATGAAGAGACCTTTACCTGGTGAGACAGGCGCGGCAAGAGCTCCCTTGATTGACCTACCAGCCAACACAACTGCGCAAGGCAACGGAACGAATGCGGCCGCCACAACGGGAGGTGCCGGTCTCGATGCGAAGAGACAGAAGACAGGCTAGTTTTAAACAGGCATAGCAGCGGCTAGTTCATGATGGTGTTATGGCGTACTTGTTTTGGGCTGGAGCAGGACATGTATGTATTTCTTGAGCGGAAATGACGACTTTTGATAATCATTCTATGAACCAGGACAGGACGTACCGGACGCCGGCACCGGTAATGGAAAAAATATTCTTCTCTTTCATAAACTCTCAGCGCCATTGAACACCAGGCTCGTCTAAATGTAGGCTGTGAAACGCGTCTATCTAGGTAAAAAAACGGGGGTTGTGTAACGCCATAGCAAATTGTTTGTTCTACTGCTGGGTGTCGTCGGCGTACTCGTACGCATTGGGCGAGAAGTCGAAGCCACCCGCAACATCAGAGCAGTGCTGCACGGAAGCTGCACCGAGGCGAGCTGGCATCGTCTCGCCGTTGACGGGCGTTGGTGTCCCCATGCTCGACCTGTCTTCCTGCTCGCCGCCCAGTCTCTCGTATTCCGTCCGCAGGGACAAGTACGCCTGCGTGAGCGTCTCTTCGCGCCGATGGGCTTCCTGGAGAAGGTGCTCCAGGTCGCGGATGCGCTGCTCCTTGCGCTCCCGGTACGCCCTTTGCGAAGCACGATTCTGCGCCCGGCGCCGCTGTGTGAGGGATGGGGGTTAGTTCACGGCTTGTCTGAACGAGACTGCTGGTGATGCCTGACGCACGGACTGGACGCTCGGGGGAGCGTTGCGGTATCGATTCTCCCTTCTCCGTGGAGGCCTGGCCTGCGTGTCTTGGGATAGGTGCGGCACGGATGGCTCGCTGGCCGTGCTGGTTGGGCTGGCGTACACAAATGGCGTGTCGTTTATGAATTCCGTGTTGTGCTAGCTGGGGTTTAGTTTTTGTGGCTGTCTGGTCGTTGCTCGTGGGTTGCTGGGCTGGGCTCACTGGGAACTCCTGGTGGAGGGCATCGAGATACGGGTATGCCACGGGGCCGTGTGGTTCCGCCATGCTGGACGCTTGCGATTCGGGAAGCGTCTGCATGGTGCCGAGAAAGTCTAGCCATGGGATTGGAATTAGTGGCGAGGCGGTTGCTGTGGTTTGGGGCACAAGTTCCGCTGAGGATTGACTTGCGGATTGGTGATCCATGAATGATGTATGGACGGTTGTGGCGTTTTTCATCAAGATGTTGAAGCCTGGCATCTCGCCGCTCTTTACTGGATTACATGCTACGAAACGACTGGAATTACATGAAATTGGGTTCAAATCTGGACATGGGCAGTACGATGGCCGCGTCGCTTCGCTCTCGGGCTGGTTCCATGTCGCGAACGAAGCGACAGGCGGATGGAGAGGACGACGAGGTCAATGTCGAGTCGAGGCAGAAACGGAAGCGAGCCAGTCGGCTGGGGCGGATGCCGATGGCGGCTTTGGGCGATGGAGGATGGAATGGGAGGGAGGTGGCATAGGGCTGGGTAGATGCGTTGGTTGAACTACTGTACTTTGGGCTTCCAATATTCTGTTGGTTGTTGGGTGCGTTGGACCATGATAACGCATCATTTGATGGCCTATATATGGCCTGTGGCGCAGTTGGTGCAGGACAGTGCCACGACGGGGGCCGTGTCGTCTGCGTGAATTCATCCGCAGATTCGTGTTTGGAATGGCGGATGCAGCGCAAAACGCATTGGCGAGGGGCAGCGAAAGCGAGGCGAGGGTGAGGAGGGAGGATTTGGACCAGGCTGATGGTGGCGGTGATGGCGGTGATGGCGATGATGTGCTATGTGTCGCGGGCTTGTAGTCAATAGACGTCCGAAACTTGAGCAGCGCAAGTGGCTCTTGCCGTATTAAAAAGGTCAATTTGGAAAGTCAATCAGAAATAGACTCGATTGACGCAAATACAAGGAACCCAAAACACCAGCCCATGCGTATCAAATCAATATGTGTGGCGAGAGTATGTATGTATGTATGCATGCGCAGAGAAGGAGTGCCACATTCCAACGGATGTCAATGATATACTCCATATGTTCATCTGTATGAAGCAAGCCTTCTCTGGTCTGGTCTTTTCTCCGCTCGGCGTGAATAAAGTTAGTCTTTTGCCAAGATTGGACGTTTCGCCTGTCACAACTGGGGCATGATTCCACCAGGCAACCTGGACAACCAATGGCCCATGGGCAGCCGCCGAGACCAATAATTCAATTTCCCATCATCTCGGTAGTCGGTACGGGCGTTGCGGATCAGTCTGGCAAAAGGCTAATTGTTGTTCGGTGCTCCGAAACGTCCTCCGTCTGCCAGATAACGGTTCATCCATTCTCCAACCAGCCCCGCAACTCGACGACAGCATCTGGCATCTTCACCTGTGCCATGTAAAAAGGATATACCAGCCCAATCATGGACCCTCAGTCTCATAATACCGCCGGTTCATTCACCGGATGGAGCACATCCAAAGTCGCCGCAAATAACACAACGAGACAATACTTTGAGCACTTCTCCGGCCAGGCCTCCAGCACCAACACCATCCTCGCTGCCTCTCTCAAGGAACAGTACCCCAATCTCAAACTCTCCATCCTCAGCCAGGTCGACCTCTTGGGCTTCGCGGCAAACGGCTTCGCCAAATGCACCCCGCTCGCCGATGATGCGAACTCGGGCCTCCCATCATCCGTCACCGTCAACGCCTACCAACCGGCCCAGCGAAGGGTCCGAGGCAGCAATGGCCTTATTGCCCAGGACATTCGATTCGGCAAGTTCCACTACCAATGGCAAGCTCGCGACTTTATCCTGTACATCGCCCATGGGCTAGATGGCTCCTCGGGACTCAGCAGCTACACATATACCTATCTCCTGTCCAGCGACGAGTATCATTCCGAGGCCCTTGTCCTTGCCGCCGGGAAATGGACCAGCTCGCTCCATGAGGAGATTTGGGTCTATGACGGCGGCTACTGGTCCAAGAGTGCCGAACTGTACCAGAGCGTCATGAAGGCCTCGTGGGATGCCGTCATTTTGGACGCCCAGATGAAGAGGGACCTGATCAACGACCATTTGTCCTTTTTCCAGTCCGAGGGCACCTATCGCCGGCTCAAGGTGCCCTGGAAGAGAGGCATCATCTACTACGGGCCCCCGGGCAACGGCAAGACGATTTCCATCAAGGCAATGATGCACACTCTATATGACATGAAGCCTGAAGTCCCGACCTTGTATGTGAGGTCCCTGGCCTCGGTGAGCTATTACAACCCCGTTGCCCTCCCCTCGCCCATATCTCTATGGATTGGCCGTGAGGAAAATAAAGGTTTTGTTTTTGGCTAATTGAGACCAAACCCGCGCAGTTCATGGGCCCAGAGTACGCCATCAAGACCATCTTCTCAAAGGCACGACAATTCGCGCCCTGCTACCTCGTCTTCGAAGACCTCGACTCGCTGGTCTCTGACTCGGTAAGGAGCTACTTTCTCAACGAAGTGGACGGGCTCAAGGAAAACGATGGCATTTTCATGATTGGCAGCACCAACCATCTCGAACGTCTGGACCCAGGCATCTCGGTACGTTGAAACCCACCCTCAAAAAAAAAGGGAAAAAAAACACATTGGTATGGAATTTAACATGTGCTCCCTGCGGGGGGGAACCAAAAACTACAGAGACGCCCCTCCCGCTTCGATCGTAAATACTTGTTCCCCAACCCCAATCTCCGCGAGCGAATAGCCTACTGCCACTTCTGGCAGGCCAAGCTCAAGGACAACAAGGAAATCAACTTCCCCGACAAGTTGTGCGACGCCATTGCCGGGATCACGAGCAGGTTCAGCTTTGCCTACATGCAGGAGGCGTTTGTGGCCGCCTTGCTGGCGATTGCGCGGGACGAGAAGCCGGATGGCATCATCACGGCAATGGACGTGTTGACGGTTGATGTGGCGCATGACTGGGTGGAAGTCCTGGGTTGTGCAGAGGATGACGAGGACCCCGAGCTGGAGAAGCTGGTGCTGTGGCGGGAGATGAAGAAGCAGGTCAAGATTCTGAGGGAGGGTCTGAGAGGCGGCGACGGAGAGCTTGATGCCAACTTGGCGTCTGTGTAGGTTCTGTACTGGGATAATTTTGAGACGCACGTCGTGGATGAGAATGGTCTAAACGGTACATTTCTTCTTGTTATACATCTCTCTTGTAAGGGGGTGGTGTTTTTCTAAATCTACATCGACTTTTGCAAAATTGGGCCCTCTGGTTTTTTTTTAACTCTGACAAAGACATTGAATGTGCGCTTGCTTGACGTATTTGAGGCCAATTTCTTATTATACCTTGCTGTCAGGCGTGGTCGTCAACCTGGCGAGTCCCTCCTGGGCCTGCCTGACACCGTCGGCAAACTCCATCTCCTGACTCGTCTCTATACACTGCCTATACTTCTGTCGCGCGAGCTCCCTCTGCCCGAGCATAGCAGCCACGTCACCCCAGTTGCACAGAGCTACGGCACATGCCTCGTCGCACTCGGCCGTCCTGTCGTCGCCCTTGACATCCCTCCCGTGGACGTAGGCATTCTGGGCCCAGTTCAGCCCCGCCTCGAGGCACTCCTTGCGCGTCTGCGGGAGGGCGGCTTGGTCGGAGATTTGCTGCATGGCCACGGAGACTTCTGCCGCGTTGGGAGAGAAGATGGGCTGCTGGGCGAAGCATGCGGCTAGGTTGTTCATGATGATGGCCCTGTGACACGGGCTCTCGCAGAGTTTGAGGGCCTGGAAGAACAAGGGGACGGCGAGCTGGAATTGAGACCGGCGCTCGTAGTCTCGGCCCAGGGATTCCATCATGCCGCCGAGTTCCGGGGGCGAGAGCCAGTCTTGCTCGCCGGGCTTGATGCCGTCGACTTTTCGGCGGCTGAACTCCTTGAGGGATGTCTCTACAGCCCATACTAGGTGGTCGTGTGACTTGTCGGGTTGGAGTACGTGTTCGTCGGCGTACATCTCGCCTAGCTTGACTGCCGTGCCGATGGCTTTGGCCAGCAGTCGCTGTCTCTTCCGCCAGAGTGTTTCGACCTCGGGCTCGGGCTCGGCCTCACCGTCCTTCTTCGTCTCGGACGCCTTGGCGATGCTGTCTTTGGGAGGGACGATGGTGACCGTTTCACTGCCGGCAGGCTGGCTTCCTGTAGCTTCATCCACGTATCTGCCGGCTTCATTCACTTTGCCGTCCGCGACAGATTGCTCCATCACACCAACCCACCTCTTGCAATCCTGCAACACAGACTCCAGCACATCAATAGATCCCTTGTAGTTATTAATCTTTTGCAGCCAGAACGACACCTGGATGCGAATGCCGAGCACTTCGTCTGAGAAGGGGTCTAGCCCAACCTCTTTCACTTGCTCCATGGCCTTTTTGTAATATTTCAACGCCATCTCCGGATCCGGCTTGTAGTTGGTGTAGTAGATAGCCCGTCGCAAGGTGTTTGCCACGGGTTCTGGGTACCGGCTGAATTTGGAGTTGTAGAAACTGAGAATGTAGGAGCGGATGGCGATGACGGATATGGCAAGAGTGAATGCGAGCCTAGAAAGAGGAATCAGCACATGGCACAGCTTCGTGAATGGCAATTGGAGGAGAGAAGGATGTACAGAATGATATTCATGCTCGTCACAACCGGTGAATCCTTGTACGCGGTTCGAATTCCACGAGGGCTCAATGCGACAGCCAAATTGCGCAGACTGGCTCCCAGCGAACGCCCGACAAATTGCCGGAAAGACATTTGCGGCCTATCTCGCTTCTCTTGCTTGGGCGGCTCATCTTTGTTTCCTGGCGCGCTCGACTGATATCTCGCCTGATGCGGCTGCAACTTCACCACGGCTCGCAGGCTCCAGCTCGCGGATCGTGACTTGACTTGCACCGATAATAACTCGGTCGCAGCATGCACAAGACACCTCCTTTGCAAGGGCCTGAATGAAGCAATCGCCGTGACAGACATTGCTGCAATCTCGGTGCGCACTGCCGCGCGAAAGGGTCGGAGCGCGATGCTCCAAAAAATTGTTCACACTTGAACGTCACAAAAAGGCAGTGACGCTTTTGCTCTCAGGCAATCGACGCTAGTCCCGACTTGGCCCGTGCGTCATGGTATTCTGCGGCCCGAGGTGGGGAGTTTCCGTGACCGAGGCCATGAAGTTGCGTTCCATCCATCATCGGGCTGTTTGCTAAACCACTCAAATTCACGCTATTTGCAAGACAATTCAATATGGCTGGCAGATTCGAGCCCAAGGTCCCCGTCCAGTTGAACCCGCCCAAGGATGACCCCATCTCCGTAGAGGAGTTGGCAAAGGCAACCGGTATGTTTTTCATCTGACCCCTCCATGAAGCGCCGACTCCATGTGAGAGATGTGTTTGTGTGCGCGCGTGTGTGTGTCCGTGCGGCTGCAAAATCACAAAAAAACCAAGGAAATGTTTGCTGTTTCGCCGGCGTTGGAATAGCATCGATTCACCATCGAGCCGAGACGACGAGGTGGATTGCCATCTCTTTGCTTTTGGAGCGGAGGTTCCGGACGATTGCGCACATGAGCATGACACAGACCCAGGCTTGTGATACTGACTAGCGAAATGCAGGAGTGGACGGCGGGAAGTGTTACGTGGCCATCAAGGTATGTATGAGGTGAAGAAAAGGAGAATTTGCTTGTTTTCAAATTGTTCAAAAACTACTGGGCTTTCGGAGCGCGTCAACTGACCTATCGTCTGCAGGGCAAGGTTTACGATGTGACTGGCAACAAGGCATACCAGCCTGGGGGGTCATATCACGGTGCGTCTTGTGAAACCACGCAAGAAATTGGGTTGAGCTCGGAGACTTAAAAACTGACATGTCAAACGATAGTCTTTGCAGGAAAAGACGCGTCAAGGGCCCTTGGCAAGACGTCTACCAAGCCAGAAGATGTCAAGGCTGAGTGGCATGACTTGGAGGATAAGGAGAAAGAGACGCTCAACGACTGGATAATATTCTTCTCCAAGCGCTATAATGTCGTTGGTGTCGTTGAGGGAGCCAAAAATATGGAATAGCGTCATCACGGATCTTCTACTACTACGGAGTACTACAGTAAAGAAAAGAAAAAAAAAGACAGAAAAAGAAACAAGTTCATTTCATCCATTGGCCCAGATACGAGGATCTGTCGTCATTGTGTTATCAAGACCTCGAAGAACATAAGTGCCGGTGGAAGACAATGCAAACACAAACGACCCGAGTCTTTTGGTCTCCAAGTACCGAGTACAACCTATTCGCAGTGAAAACGTCTCCTCCTCATCTTATTGCTGCCAAAGTTGTCCCACATGACATTATTTCCGACGTGACGCGGACGTGGCTCGACAGTAGCACGACGGGTTTGTTGTTACACAAGGTTGGACATGGAGTAACCGTTATGAGAAAAGGGGGAAAGAGAAAACAAAAGCTTGGTCGGGCCCAAGATTCCATGCCCTTGACATAGCTCGGCCACTGATTACTCCATGCTTCAAGTCATGGCACAAAAAATACCGGATCCTCTTGTCTCTCTCCTCTCTGCCGTGTCCGCGGGACCAAGTTGGAACGCTCCTGATTTTGTGCCAGTCCATCCATCAATTGTGTATGGGGATGTTGGCTCCGAAATGCCAAGAAATGGCGAGAGTACGGAGTACGTACTCCGTAGTTCAGTGTGCAATGCCACATGAAAGGGCTCCATGTAGCTTTCGGTTGCGAGATCATTACGGAGTATAGTACGGAGTATTGCGAGGCGACTTGAATCCTTTGGACCCAACCAACCCAGCCCATAGACCATTACTCCGTAGATAACAAGTGAATAGTTTGTTCTACAGAGTACGGAGCATCACATTTTCGATTTACATGGCTTCGTATCATTGCTACAGCACTCCATAGAGGCAAGAGTATATGGTATTGTTCGTTTCAAGCAATTTGCATGTCTCGCGCATCTTTCATTTTTACTACGGCTGAGCATCTCTACTCCGCACTCTGGAGAACTGCCGGGGTTGACAGTGACACCATCAAATGCGTGGTCCATCGTTACCAAAGGTGTGGGATACACCAGAAATATTTCGCAGGGTGTTGCGCAGACGAGGCCCCTCGACTTGGCTAGATCAGGCGCAAAACAAAGGAATTGCCAACACCGTTAGGATGGGGACGGGATGGGTGTGTGGTCAATTCCACCATTTTGGACCCCTCCTGGTTGCCTCATGGTCGCCTTGATAAGATGTCGAGGACTATGAAAGCACCACCAAGTTTGACATCGAACCCTTGGTTATTCAGAGATCCAGAGTACTAGTAGTACTTCTACACGGGGGAGGCACCGGATTTTCCGGCGGGCATGGCTGTTGTTGATTGGATCACTCTTCACCGAAAGCTCAAGGTTGATGAGAGTCCAAGTGGGCGTCAACGATGCAATGGGCGTGGCCCATGCATGCATTGCCCAAGGCATGTTGCACTGGTGCAGCAATCTTGACGGGGTGGACGACGTGACGGGCAGCCTTGGGAAAGTGAGGCGAACGGCAGGGCGCACCACCTCCACTTTTCATCTTTCGAGTTGGCCAAGTGACTGCTGGATGTTATCGATGGATGGCTCGTCGAGATGAGGTGCAGACGAATATGCAGACAAACATGCAAGCACTACTCCGTATGTACGCAAGCAGACATGTAGACAAGGTGTATACATACACGAGCACGGAGTGCCGTATGGAGTAATACGTAGTAGGAAAAAGAGAGCAGTCAAAGGATTAGTCAAAGGACAAAGGACAAAGGACAGTCAATGTGCCAGCAAGCCAGAAGGTCGTCGACGGCAGTTAGGCCCATTGCTCCTTCCCCCAAGACGATTGGATCATCTACGCCTAAGCACCCAATCGCCCAACCGCCCACCGCCCTTCAGGGTTCACTGTTCTTCATGTCCTGTGGCTGATTCTTTGCATAGCCATCGCCATTGCCATCATCCCCATTTCCGCTCTCTCACTCTCCGTTTCACAACACTCTTTGCGTCGCACCCTCTGATGCGATTTGTTTTCTTGGCCAGCTTTGTCATGTGCCGACCTGGCCTCGATCAACGAATAAGCCATCCCGCATCTTCACCCTCGACCCGGCGCCTGCTGTTTGGCGCCACACACTGGGTCCTCTTGTTCCATCGTGTCGTGTATCCCCTGGCCGGCTTTCGCATGCCATGCTAATGTCACCGGGGTACGGTTCGATTTGTGGCCGAATTTGAGTTGTCTTGGGTTGCTACTTTTTCCTGTGCCACCTCCGCATTAGGTTCATCACGCTCCCTCAAGACAGAGCTTGATACTCTACGACTCTACGACCCTAGTCGTCACTCTCTCCCTTTCGCCAACTTGCATCTCAAATCCATTGCTGGTTGCAATTTCGCCTTTCTGGAAACCGTCTATTTGAACTTTTGAAACCACTAGACGATACGGAGTACTCCTGTTTCCCACGGTTGTCTTGGAGCCCTGCCCATCCATCCTTCGGAATCGCCTCAGTGGATCATGAACTCTATACCGACCTCCTTTGGCACTATAACCTTTCTCTTTGCTGGATGACGCGGTATAACCAAGTTCACCTCGAAATATAGCCAAATATCTGGAGGATTAGCCTTTCGCATATCGATCATCTAGTATCTTTATCGATCCTCGCTTGTTACGGCGTCTCAGTCTCACTTCGCAAGCATTCTTGCTCTTTCACCCCCAGGTCGCGATCCTTTTCATCAGCTTTTCTCTTCAGGAGCGGGATTTCTTCTCACCGCTGCCTGTATTTTTATTGGACCAGGCTTCTCTGCCCAGGCATCGCTCCTCAACGTGCTGGATTGACCTAGCTCGGAAAAATGCAACCTGACATTGGAAATCCCCTCGGTAGGGGCCGTCAAACCTACCAGAGGAATAAGAGATGGACTGAAGGAAGACGTCAACAGTCCAACGTGGACCCATGGGCTCCTGAGCGTCTCATGCCTCTGGGAGGCGACAGTATGAGACAGGAGTTTGTTTTCCAAAAGTTTACAACGGATGTTGCCAACGACCCCTTCATCCCGACAGGAGTTATCGCACCATTTTCCTTAGAAAGACATCAGGACCAGAACGTTCTTGAGGCGCAGCTAGCAGCACCACCTCAACAACAACAGCCCTTCTATTCCGGCGACATACACCACAATGTGGGCATATATGCGAGCCACGATGACTCTGGTTATGGCGGTAGTCGTGTATCCCACACTGTCACAAGCCCTTCTATCGACGCAGGACAGGAAGGCAATTGGTCCCAACTGCAATGCGACATGTGCAATGAATTCAAGGCCAAGAACAAATCAGAACTAAGGTACTGTCATTCCAAACAACGCCCCAAAATATTAATGATTGAATGATCGAAGTCCTCTTTGCCTTTCAACAGCACTAACCGAATGGTCTAGAAAGCATCAGAATCGCCACACGAAGCCCCATAAGTGTACTGTTCCGACATGTCACAAAGGGTTTGCGACGGCAAATGACCTTGAAAGACACAGGAGAACTGTTCACCGGGATTCGTGCCACAATGACAGCAACTCCATTGTGTATAAATGCACCCATTGTTTGACCGAGCCTGGTAAGCAGAACAGACGAAAGAAGCAGGAATGGCCTAGGAAGGATAATTTCATCGCACATCTGGCGAGAATACACAGTATTGACGCCAATGTTATGGACAATTTGGATCAATACATTGTTCGTAGCCAGTCACAGCCTGTGACCTTGCCCGATATTGCACAAAGGAGCAATAGAGACGCCGCGCAACGAAACGACCTGACAGGGGTGGGGACTCTGCCAGATCTCATGGCTCCTCAAACAGAGGGCACCTATGTAAAGCAACTTGCAAATTTGACAGGAGGTCAAGTCAATGCTCTCACAGAGCAACGTCTGAGGAAATTTTGGCAGAACAACTCTAACCACTTTGAGTCTTCTGGGGAGCCTCAATACATCACCCCCCACATGCTGGGACAAGGACTGAATGACGATTTATTACTTGACTCTTCATTGGAGACTGCACAAAACCGGCCACTTGACTTCGAATTTGTGAGCAACCACAGCGTGATGGATCCTCCGCCGCAAAATGATGGCATGATCGCAAGCTTGCAATATCCTGGCATTGCAACCAATGGCGGGGAAACCAATGATGCCGGTATGGATAATGATGAGACCGACGCATGTATTCCCAATCACTTGGAGCGTCCAAACTCTCCCTCTGAAATTGTTCCCGAGCCTCTCGAATCAGCAGCGCCACCTTTGCAAGCTGACCATGGAACAGAGGACAACGCTATCATGGACGTTGTGAAGAGGCTGCAACTCCCTGCGCCAGTAGGCCCATCATCTAGTCTTACAGACCATGTTAAAAAACTGCCTCAAGAGACTCGGGATGCCCTGGTAGCTGCTCTTTTCCCATCTGGCCTGGATGACGATGATCAGAGCATTATTGATCTCGACACAGCAGCCAAGGGTCAGAATGCATGCCATATGTGTCAAAAAAGGTTTAGGCGACCCTGTGAGTTGACGTACGTATTTCTGTTGAACCAGTCACATTTCCCTCATGCCGTGAAGACCAAGCTAACCTCGAAGCAGGAAGCATATGAAAAGACATTCGAAGCCATACGGATGCACATGGAAGGGATGTTCCAAGACATTTGGGAGTAAGAACGACTGGAAACGACACGAATGCAAACAGCATTATCATATGGAAACGTGGACATGCGATTTAAGCTCTTGCCCAAAGAGGAGTTGGAATCGTCGCGAGACATTCAAAGCTCATCTAATTAAGGAACACATGTTCGCCGGACTCGAAGTCCTAGAAAGGAAGGTAGAGCAGTGCCGTCGTGGCGCAAATAGTGCTTCACATTTTTGGTGCGGCTTCTGTGTCAAAAATATTGATGTAACAGCAACAGCAACATGGACCTCGAAGTTTGACCACATTGATAACCACTTTTGCGGCAAGGATGGCATGGAGCAGAAGAGCATAGACGAATGGATACATCCTGAGCCTGAGAACCGTGAAGATATCGCAGAGGCTCTAAGCAGTG